GGCAACGTCTGGAGACATTCTTGGTTGTTACAGCTTGGTGAGGAGAGTAGGATTCTATTCTTACTGACATCTAGATGGGAGAGGCCAGGGATGCTGTGAAACACCCAACACACAAGACAACCTCCCCCTCTCCCAACAAGAAATGATCTGGCCCAGACGTCCGGGTGCCGAGGCTGAGATGCCGTGGATTCGAGTTTTACACACGAGGCGCACACGTGCCCAACAAACCACCAGAAAACTGGGTGCCTGGTAGGTTCTGAAAGCCGAGTCTCCAGTGTTGGGGAATATTTGTTTGGAATCGGTCAGAGAAGAGGAGTCGGAGGCTCAGTGACTCCAGTTGTGTTAAAAAAATAAATAAATAAAATAAAAACAAAAACAAAAACAAAAACAAAAACAAAAACAAAAACAAAACCATCACTATAGATACTGCCCACAGAGGCGCACGGCGCGGCCAGGGCAGGGGAAGCCTCCCAGGTCCCTCCAGACATGCAGCCACGAGGGCCAACGGCTGTCTGGCCCCACAGTTCAGTCTGTCCAGAAAGCACAGTTAGCATCTATTTGCCCCCAAAAGTCTCAAGCAGAAGCTGGAGGAGAAAGACGGGGAGTAATTTCTAAGAGATGCCGCAGGACTGAAAAGAAGTCAAAGACTGCCAGCAAGAAGACAGGTGCCAGGAGGAATCCTTTCCTCAAAAGTCTCTGTACTGAGCTCCCTGGCTGTCATCTCCAGCGGTCTGTCACTTGACCTGGACCCAAGACCCCTGGCTCTTCTATAGAATGGCATATTTTTCTGTGGGGTGTGCTCTGAGAAGAGTGATTTCCCATCAGACAGCAGCCCTTGCCTCTGGACTCAGAAAGGATGGGGCCCCTAGTGGGTCTTGGCAGTATCTCGTCAAAGTCAAGACCATCCCAGATATCAGAGCAAGGCCCTACCCTCCCAGGTGCAGAGAGGCTAATTTCCTTCAGCCCCCAGGTTCAAGGTGGACGTCCTCTGGGGCCTCCGTTTCAAATTCAAGACGTGTGTGTTCCATGAGCAATAACCCTGCGTCTGGGTCTAGCGTGGGTTGGGGACCAGGGGGCAAGGGTTTCCATCACTGCTTCACCTCAGCTATGAAATGAAGGCATGAACCCTGGGCTGGCCAGGGCTCCACTCAGGTCTGAAGTCTGGGGCCACTGAAGACCACACCACAGACTCTGGAGGCGTGGGGAGCCATTTCTGGCACGGAATCCTCCAGCCCAGACTTAGGAGGCACAGGTCCCATCTTGAAAGACGGTAGAGTTTTTTTTTGTTTTTATTTCCACCATCATGGTCTCATTTTTCAGATGAGGGAACTGAGGGCCAGGGGACCTAAGGGACCTACCAAGGGCAATCTCTCCTTTTCTAGAGAGAAGCCATCTGAACAACGCCCTGAAGCCCAGCTCCAAATCCAACTTTAAAGTTCTACTTGAACCCCCAACTCAGATCATGGGACATGCACAGTGGTCACTATCCATTTCTTTCCTTCCTTCAATTTTTCCTTCCCTCCTTCTTCTTCTTGTCTTCTTCTTCTTTTTTTTGTAAAATAAAGAAACCCCAGGCCTTTAAGGCTTCCTCATCGGACCATTTCCGGGAAATCTGATTAGCACTTGCAATAGCAGTTACATTATACCTGCCTTTTAAAGACCGCTTCCCTCTCTGCCCTGGGCTTTCTTCCAGGAAGTTGGGGCCGTGTGTAAAAGATACACTGAGCATGGTGACTAATGGGCCACCTCGGGGCCAGCTGGTGCAGGCCAGGGTTCCAGGCGCTAACCTCAAAGGACCCACTCAGATGCCGCCGTCTGTGGGAAACACTATGGTCGCAGGCAACAGACTTAACCGCACCTTGGTGTCAGCCAAAATACAGTCAGGGCTGATCAGCCCAAGAAGGCACAGAAATAAGAATGAATTTTTTTTAAAGTCCTGAACACGAAGGAAGAAGAGCAGAATGCCAGACCATGCCCAGCCCTTGTAATGGGCAAGCTCCACACACGGACTCAGGACCCCCCCAGGTGGGCAACCTTACAGGAGCCGACAAGTAAGGCACCCAGGGTCCTTGAGCTCCTATACACTGAGCACCAGGGAGACTCTCCAAACACGTGCGAACATATTTTAATAATATCCTCATGCATTTCATTAGCCTCCCGAGTTCACAAAGGGCCTTTGGGAAGCAATCTGGTTTAATACAACTCAGTTCCACAAATGCTGGCTCTGGGCAGGTTCTGCTGGCATCTCGCTGGCCAGGCGAGGGGCAGCTGGGGGTGGGGGGTGGGCAGAGGTGAACAAGGCTTTCAATTCCAGGACTGGAGGGAGTGGGGACCGGCAGATGGAAGGACCCACCACCGAAGCCAGCCAGCCTGCCCCGGCAGGGCCGGTCATGAGTTATTTTTACTTCTTGTGCCTCACTGTACAGGCTCAGGGGCTGAAAACTGTGGCAGCCGCCTGCGGAAACTGGCTTATGAGTCACCCGGTGACTGCCCTCGCTTGGTGGCGGCTGCCTCTGGACTCCTGGTCCCAGCTGGAAGAAGGCTGGCCCTTGCAGGGACCCAGAGTGCTTAGGGGTGAGGATGGGGAAACTGAAGCTCAGAGAGGCAAGAGGTCCCCAAAAGGATGGGCTGGGGGGAATGGGGTATAGGCTAGAAGGAAGTCCCCAGGGGGCAGCAGTCAATTCCCCACTGGACCCAATGGCCACCTGGGTGGGCTATACATGATGGAAGTCGAGGTTTGTCCCAACTTCTCCGTGCACAGGGCGAGTCAGCACCAAGCTTCAAACACTCCCCTACCCACCCTGGGTCTACCTCCCCCTTTCAGAGCAAGGCAGTCCCAAATACAGACAGCCCCAAACTTTGACTCATTTGTAACCACCGTCCCAGCCAGACTGAGCCAAGCTGTCCAGACAGAGGCTATTTATAGGTGCGTCGGGGACACAGACACTCACACAATGACACACACTCAGGATCCACGTTCGGCCAGACCCACCAGTGCTGAGCCCTGGATTCAGACACCTGGACACAAACGGTCCCCAGACCCCCAGAGAGATGCGCAGTCAAGAGAGGCACCCAGAACCGGACACAGAGAGACACAGAGACCCAAGAAAGCTCGGGGACACACACTCCGGGGGCAGACTGCAAGCCAGACACACAGACACAAGGAGAGGAACGCGGAGACCCAGACAGAGACGTACAGACACGCACACTCCACAGACGCACGGAAATTCACTCACAGACCGAAACCCACAGCGCCACGCACACTCCAGACACACACCCGGAGCCCCAGACACCGCGCAGGCCAGACAGTGTCTCACACGCCCGACACCCTCCCCCTGCCCCCAAGCCAAAGTTGATAAAGAGCCGGCCTAATTGCTCCATCGCGACTGCCCCTTAGGGAAATAAAATGGAAACTTCACGGATCCACCCGCCCCAGCCCTCCCGCGCCCGTCGCCCTCCGCGTCGCTCGGCCCCGGGTCCGAGTCCCGGCGGG